GGTATAACCAAGACGGATTTCTTTAAAGAATACTTGTCTGGAGGAACAGATGGCTTTGCTGGCAGTGAGGTAAATGAGAATTTGTTCCCCTATTAGAGGTAATACTTCAGGAGCACTCAGTATCCTAGTGAAGCTTCCAAGCCCAGGCTGTAACCTAGGTATAACTGCCTTAGCATGGGAGCCTTTCCTTTCCTCTCAGTACTGTGTCTAGCCTTAGAATTCAAAACAATTTTTAAAACGTTTAATTAAAACAACAACTCCAAAACAAAACAAAGATGGGGGGGGGCAGCAGCCCACTTGTTTCCCCGCATGAACATTCATGGGAAAACAGGAATAGTAATATTATTGAGCGTTAACCCCACCCATACCTTACTTCTTAGTAAACATGCAAAGATTTGGACTGCACATGTGCTTTTAATAAGAGAATTCTGTCAGAGAGGCTGATATTGATCCCTGTAGCATACATAATATCATAGATTTGGAGGACAAAGGAATGTTTGTCATGCTCATCCTTTCTGATACCTGCATAACAACTACCCTGTCACTTCCACCATGAATTTGAGCAGCAAGTTCAATAAAATCTGTTTTAACTTGAGCCTGTCTTTCAAAGAGACTTGGTCTCAGTATTATAGGGAAACGGCTGTAGCTTAGGGGCAGAAGGTCTGCCTTCCATGCAGAAGGTCTCTATATCTATAACTTCACACACACACACCAAGTCAGGATATGCATTTTTTAAAAGTATTGTATGGATTCCAATTGCTGTAGTTGTTCATATATTTTTACCACAGGGAGTAAATATAGCACCTTACATTTTAACAGATTTAGGGAACAATCCTATGCACAAGAAACTGGGATAAAGCAAGTTGGTGCAAATTAAGCCAGCATGAAGTTACCAGATCCAAACCCTGTTCAGCAGTGGGGAGCTTTTAAATTGTTTTTTAGGCTGGGCTGCCAGATCACATAGCTGCACTGAATGGGCTTAGGCATCAGCCAAAGTCCCCCACGCTCTGGTCCTCAGACCCTCCAAGTGTCCCTATTTTCCAGGGACTTCCCTGATTTAGAGAAGCTGTCCCGGTTTCTGATTTGATCTTGGAATCTCCCACTTTTCCTTAGGATGTCCTTATTTTCATTGGAGAAATGTTGGAGGGTATGGAGTTATTCAACCCCTGAGCCATCTGAAGGCAATCCTGTATAGGGAAGTTTTTTAATGCTTAATGTTCTATTACATATTTATATATGTTGGAAGCTGCCTAGAGTGGCTGGGGCAACCCAATCAGATGGGTTGGGTATAAATAGTAAAATTATCATTATAGAATGTAAGGTCCCATTTTCATTGGAGAAATGTTGGAGGGCAAGGGTCTTTTGGGACACTTGTACCAACTTTGACTCAGCTATCTGAGTAAGTTACGGTGGAATATTTTCAGCTGAGCCGGGGTTGAATTCTTCAGGTTTTCACTGAGCCTGGTTGAGCCAGGAGTCAGCCGGCAGAAGTGAAGATCCTCTACATACTAAGCTTCTTATCCTGAGATTGGGGCAACAGTTTGTCTTTTATGTTGTTTTTGTTGTACCATACTAACTTGGTAAACCCCCTCAGGAATTATTTTCTAAACTGCTTTGCGTGTATATGTGTCATGGCATTATGTTTATGAACTTCCAATAATATCCATATACCACTGCCCCCTCTAAAATAATTTGCTAATGAATAATAAGTATCAAATTGCAAATAAGAATCAACTAATCTCATCAAAATTCTGAATTTCCACAGTGAAATTCAAATGCACTGCATTTCTCGAGCCTTAAGGTGAGCTTATAATATACTGAGTAAATAAATAGGGGGAAACATATTTGCTAAGGGAAAAATTAACTTGCAGGCTTTGCAAAAATATATATGCAAAAGATAATAGGCTTAATGAGATGTCCCACACAGCCTGAAGTCTTTGTACTTAGAACTCATCCAAGCTCTGGAAGTATGTATTCCAAAAGAGCAGAGACAAATTGGAAAGTATTAATATTTTTCTCCTTTTTCCCTTGCCAGAAGTTCGCCTAATGACATGAAAAACAACAGGCCACAGTAAATATGGCAGCAATTGTAATTAAATAGTGATTGATTGATTGACCAATGAATTAATTTAAAATATTAGAAAAAACATAGAAAGCTGATGTAATCATCCTGATTTGACCAGATCATCTATGCAGCCCCACTAACTGGTACCAGCTTTCTTTACCTCATTCCAATCTTCATACACCCAGTTCTTTTTTATCCACACTTCCCTTCATCCCCCCCCCCATTTTGATTTATTCTTGCTGCTGTTTGTTTTTCGAGTCTGTCTAACTGGAGCCATCACCTGGCATCCATGCTGCCTGGGAAATATAGTTCAATAGGCCTGGAGAGAACCCGGTTTGCGAAGATTAGTTTAACTGTTGGTTGTTCTCTTACTAGTCACAGTCAATATGATGATTCTCATTTTCCTTAAAACAGTTCCAGGTCTTATGAGTTTGTTTTATTTTGTACTTGTCAGTTTTATTTAGTCTCTCTTCATTGACTTCTTATTTATCAGCCATAGTCCCTATTATCTTTTCTTAGTATCATTATGTATGGCTGCCCCTACCCAAATTTACTGCCTTTTGCTGCAGCCCAAACTGCTCCAAATGAGTCACAGTAGTCACAGTGAGTCACAGTAACTCTCCGTAGAAACCAAGGACTTTGATTCTGTATCCAGGAATTGTCATGAGAGTCATAATGCTGTAATCTGACATCATTTATGGTTGAAGGAGCTAATACAGCAGTTTAAAAATTAATTTGTAAACAGTCCAGGCAAATGTTGGTACCCAGTATCCCTTTAAGGGTCAAAGGTGAAAGGCATCTCTGAAAGGAGCACCCTGACATGTGGGTGACCGGAAAGAATCCTCCATAACCTAACAAACTGGTTGCTGTCAAGTCAAATCAAGCCGCGCTCCCTGATTCCCGCCCCCTTCACCCAAAGTCTTACCTACCCCTTTGCCTCCTCCTCATTCTGCTTTTACACAAGTGGTATGATGTACAAGTAAAATAATATTGCTTTTATAAAATGTTATTTTATCAAAAATAATGCTTTTAAAATAGCTTACAAGTAAAATAAAAATATACAATAATATATTTTATAATGTAAGCTATAGTAATGTAAACATGTAATGATTTTGATATACAAGTATAATAATAATTGGATAGCCACACACACAATTTTATATCTTTTTACTGGATCCACACTATACAGTGTTCATCCCCAAATGAAACAAATTTCAAGCTAATATAATTTGCCTTCTTTTGTTTATTTCTCTGTCATCAAACAGGATCTCAATGCTTACAGTTATATAGTTGCACAGTTTGCTGTTGCTGTTGTTGTTTAGTCATTTATTTGTGTCTGACCCCTTGTGACCCCATGGACCAGAGCACGCCAGTCACTCCTGTCTTCCACTGCCTCCCGCAGTTTGGTCAAACTCATGTTAGTAGTTTCATAGTTGCACAGACAACTTGCCAAAGACTAAAATTGCATGAAGTTAGCAATACCTGTTCCACCATATACTTGCCATAAGCAGAGCTGATTTCATTCCACTTCTGTTTGGTTTCTGCCAAACACATGATTTGCCTCACTGTCCATTATGGGTGGAATTTCACATTTTTGTCATCACTGTAACTGGGTTTAACTAATGGATTGCATTCTATTCCTTCTACATCACTGCATTTGAAGCGTTTCCTGTGTCTCTGTGTGTTTGCAAACTGACTTTTCAAAGTAAGTGAAGTAGCTAATGGCCCATCAATTACCTTCTCCCCACAGATCTTTTTCAGTGGAAGAAGGAAGGATGACAGGGAACCTTGACACCAAGAGAGGCATGGGACAAAGGTGGACCTTTGAAAAGATCGGACCTAAGCATACAATATGAGAAGGAGCAGGATTGGGCCTCAATGGCAGATGCACCTGATCACCCCAGGGGCATAAAGAAAGGCCTTGCATATCTCCTGGGGGTGTGGCGGGACCCCAGCTGAGAAGTAAGACCCATTGCATTTATTGGAAAGTAGGTCTTGGTGTTTAATGTCAGGAGTAAGCCAGCAGTAAATCACACTATGCAAGTTGGAGTTAACTGTTTACTAGCAAAAGCAGGATCTGCACAGGAGTGTCCGGCTTCATGAGCACATGAAGTAGCTGCTGAGACTGAAGGTCCCCACCTCCCCACAGCTGCCCAAGTCTCCTCCTCTCCAGGGTTAACATTATTATGTAATATTTGCAGCTTTTGGGGAAAAATCTGGTGGAAACAAATGCCATTTACATTCACATGATGTAAATCTGGCCCTGACAACGAGTGAATGCACACACCGTGGCATGGATGCTTTAGGTGAGATCCCTGCATTGCAGAGGGTTGGACTAGATGACCCTCAAGGTCCCTTCCAACTCTACAATTCTATGAAATGCCACACCCATTTCCATACCATTAGAATTCTCCAACATCCCTAGTTCAGACATTATTATGTAGACAGCAGGAAGACACAATTCTCAAAGTCATACTGAAACCCCAATATAATAGTGATACATGTCACTATATGATACAGAACAATTTGGAGAGGGGAGAATTGGAAAACTTTCAGCCCCTGGCATTAATAATTTAGCTAAGTTGTTTCTTCCAGTTTGGTTAATTGTATTCACTATATTAAAGTACAACAGCTGCAATTAATTAACACTTTAATTATAAATTCAGAGATATCATCTAGTTCCTTCTATGTGGTACAAATCAGTGTACACAACCATAACCAATAGCAACAGAATAAATCACTTATCTTTGTTCTCCTATGCACTTCTCATAGGTTGCGTATAATTATCTACCTGGGGGAAAGGTAAATGCTAAGGCTGTACACGGCCTCCCACCGTCCCGTGGCCCCAATTCCGCTGAGGTTCCTGAGGTTCTCTTCAGAGACATAGAGAGCACACTTCCTTCAAATGTGGAGTTAGAGGCAAAGGCTAATGCAGATGCCAGTCCATCCATTAGCGAAAGTGTCCGGGTCACTAATATGACATTATTAGTCCAGGGGGTGCAAAGGGTGGGGGACACCGGGGCGCCAAATTCTGGACTGTATACCAGTCCATCTCGATCTGCAACAGTGAAAAGCAATGTAGTGAAAGTCCCTGCCCCCCCTCCATCACTCTGTGTAGTGGTTAAGAGCAGTGGACTCGTAATCTGGTGAACTGGGTTTGCTTCCCCGCTACTCCACATGCAGCTGCTGGGTGACCTTGGGCTAGTCACACTATTGGAGCTGTATCTTCCTGGCAGCAGACAACAGAACTGTGAGACAGGTGTAAAATACTCAAGCAAGTGTTTTATTTACAACCTTACAAACACAAAACATGTGGGTGTTCTCTTTTGCAGGCAAATTCGAACTGTAACTTCTCCTTTTGTACTCATCACCAGCTGTACCTAATCAGCCTAGAAAACCACACCCAGAACTCACAGAAACAGTTCTTAAAGTTACAGTCATCTTTTCTGTTTCTTTGCAGAATGACTCCTAACACACACTTCTCTGAAGTCTCTCAGCTTCACTCACGGGAAAGTAGATTGTTAGCTGCTTTGAGACTCCTTAGCGTCAAATATTTCCCAATAAGTCAGGAAACAAAAGAATTTTCTTCCACTGCATCGTTGTTACAGGTGAGTGATTTCCCCCCTAAAAAAAGGTCATTAAATTTGGCTCCCCCCCCCCAAAAAAAGTTCAGGGCAGCAGTTGAAGAAGGAGCAAAAAGGGTTTTCTTTTGTGTGTGTGTGTGTGTGTGTGTGTGTGTGTTTCTTTGTGGCTGATTAGCTGCTCTCCCTGTGCAAAGGTCAGAGGGGGCAGGGTTTCTGATGAGGCAGGTGATTAGCTGTGGGAGGAGCTTATCAGAGCTTGCAGGGCAGCGGCGTGCAGTTTGATCCATCTTTTAGATTTAGGGGAGCTAGTCTCAAACGTTTGTTGGGGGAGACCTAGGTTTTTTTTGTGGGGGGAGTTATTTGTCCTGTCTTCACGCTTTTTATGATGGAGGACTGCTGCAGCCACCCCCAACGACACGTTCTCAAGATGGAGGGGGAGGGAACAGCTGCAGTCGCCTGCAGTTCCTGCGCAATGTTTGTCATCTTGCCAAAGGTTGCAGGCAGCTTTACCTGCAGCAATTGCATGTTGATTGCCCTCTTAAAAGACAAAGTCCAGCAACTGGAGGAACGTGTAGCTACACTCCAAAGAATTAGAGAGCTGGAGCTCTTCTTGGAAGCAACAGAGCACACCGTCTCCACCAAGGAGGTGACAGGGGACTCCCCTGAGAAGGAGGCTAGTTCACCAACACAGGAGCCAGATATATGGAGAAACGTGACTCAAAGACGTAGGAGGCCCAGGGTTCGCTCTGATTGTTTAGAAATACACAATCGCTTTGAGGTCCTCTCCCCTAGCATGGAAGACGAAGAGCAGACTCCATTTGAGGATCTCTCCCTCATTACAGTCGATCAGGTATATGAAGACGAGCAGCAAAGTCAGTCCTCAGGGAATGTGCAGGCGACCTTGGAACGGACAGCTCACGGAAGAACCCCGCCCAAAGCTAAGAGGAGGCGTGTAGTGGTGATAGGGGATTCCCTACTGAGGGGAACAGAAGCAGTCATCTGTGGGCCTGACAAGATGTCTCGGGAAGTGTGCTGTCTCCCCGGGGCTAAGATCTAAGATGTAATGGAAATGGAGCAAACAGCACGCAGACCTAGTGGTGGGAGGAAAAAATCCTTAAATAAGAGACACGGGGGAATGATTAATGGACTTCAATGTCTGTACACTAATGCGCAAAGCACGGGAAATAAACAAGAGCTCTTGGTACAGCAAACTGAAGCAATTAAATGCACATAATAGGCATTCATCTGTAAACCCAGTTGGATAATGTGGCCCACGGATTGAGAATGTAAAATAGTGGAGGGATACAGCTGATTTCAAATGATGTAAACAGGACGGCTTAGACTAAGAACACGGAGTGCAGGAGATGGACGTTATATGTCAGGCGATGGGCTGCACCTCACCTGTTGAAGAGATCCAATGATTTGCAGAACCTCAGAAGCCTCATAAGTGAGAGCATTTAGGCTCAATAATGTAGGGAGAGAGAGTAACAGTGACCTCATTGTAGGAGTTACTATAGATCCCTAAGCCTAACGGAGGACATAGATGATGCCTTCCTGGAACAGATGGCCAAGCATGCAAATGGAAGGGAGACAGTAGTAATGGGGACTTCAATTACCCGGATATTTGTTGGATGTCAAACTCAGCCAAGAGCATAAGGTCAAACAGATTCCTCACTGGCCTTGCAGACAACTTCATTGTCCAGAAAGTGGGAGAAGCAACAAGAGGAACAGCCATTTTAGACCTGGTCCTAACCAATGTTGATGACCTGGTTAGTGGGGTAGAAGTGGAAGGATCATTAGGCGCGAGTGATCATGCTCTTCTGAAGTTTACTATACAGCGGAAAGGAGCAGCCAAGCATACTAGGACTCAATTTCTTGACTTTAAGAAAGCCGACTTCATAAAACTTAGGGAAGTGCTGGGTGAGATCCCATGGACAATAATACTAAAGAGAAAGGGAGTTCATGATGGCTGGGAGTTTGTTAAGAGGGAGAGAGTAACAGCACAACGTCAGGCAATACCAATGAGACGGAAACATGGAAGGTGCCTAAAGAAGCCAGGGTGGCTATCTAAAGAACTTTTAACTGAGTTAAGATTAAAAAAGGATGTGTACAAAAAATGGAAAAGGGGGGAAACCGCCAAAGAGGAATTCAAACAAATAGCCAGCACGTGTAGACACAAAGTCAGAAAAGCTAAAGCACAGAATGAACTCAGGCTTGCTAGAGAGGTTAAAAGCAAAAAAAAAAAAGGCTTTTATGGGTATGTTCATAGCAAAAGGAAGAACAAAGAAACAGTGGGGTCACTCAGAGGAGAAGATGGTGAAATGCAAACAGGGGACACAGAAAGGGCTGAACTCCTCATTGCCTTCAAAACGACCTTGACAGATTAGAGAACTGGGCCAAAACAAACAAGATGAATTTTAACAGGGAGAAATGTAAAGTATTGCACTTGGGCAAAAAAAATAAGAGGCACAAATACAAGATGGGTGACACCTGGCTTGAGAGCAGTACATGTGAAAAGGATCTAGGAGTCTTGGTTGACCACAAACTGGACATGAGCCAACAGTGTGACGTGGCAGCTAAAAAGCCAATGCAATTCTGGGCCTCATCAATAGGAGTATAGCATCTAGATCAAGGAAAGTAATAGTGCCACTGTATTCTGCTCTGGTCAGACCTCACCTGGAGTACTGTGTCCAGTTCTGGGCACCACAGTTCAAGAAGGACACTGACAAACTGGAATGTGTCCAGAGGAGGGCAACCAAAATGGTCAAAGGCCTGGAAACGATGCCTTATGAGGAACGGCTAAGGGAGCTGGGCATGTTTAGCCTGGAGAAGAGGAGGTTAAGGGGTGATATGATAGCCATGTTCAAATATATAAAAGGATGTTACATAGAGGAGGGAGAAAGGTTGTTTTCTGCTGCTCCAGAGAAGCGGACACGGAGCAATGGATCCAAACTCCAAGAAAGAAGATTCCACCTAAACATTAGGAAGAACTTCCTGACAGTAAGAGCTGTTCGACAGTGGAATTTGCTGCCAAGGAGTGTGGTGGAGTCTCCTTCTTTGGAGGTCTTTAAGCAGAGGCTTGACAACCATATGTCAGGAGTGCTCTGATGGTGTTTCCTGCTTGGCAGGGGGTTGGACTCGATGGCCCTTGTGGTCTCTTCCAACTCTATGATTCTATGATTCTATGATTCTATGATTCTATGATTCTATTCTATGACGAGCCCTAATAGGTTCGCCACCCGAGCCGGGGAGGAGCGGGAAGTCAATCTTGGGTTTCAGAGTGTAGTGATCAGACCATGGCACTTCCACAGCGGGGAGCATGATCACATCTATGCCTGCCCCAAAGATCAGATCCAGCGTGTGGCCTGCTTGATGAGTGGGGCCCGAAACAAACTGGGAGAGCCCTAGTGTTGCCATGGAAGTCACTAGGTCCAGAGCCTGTGAGGAGGGAACAGCATCGGCATGGACGTTGAAGTCTCCCAAAACCAGTAGGTTTGGGAACTCCAAGGCCCAGCCCGCCACCACCTCCAGGAGGTCTGACAGGGTGGCTGCAGGTGTGCTGGGTGGTTGGTACACCAGCCAGACAGCCAAGCTCTCCTTGGTGCCCCACACGAGACCAACACATTCAATGCCGGAGATCGCCGGTGATGGCAGATCTCTGAAAGAGCAATCCTCCCGGAATAACAACGCTACTCCTCCCCCCCGACCCACAGTCCGCGATTGATGGAGGACAGAGTAACCTGGGGGTGTTTTCTCATGTAGGGAGACTACTTCGCCTTCCCGTATCCTTGCAGGCAGCGCTGACCCAGGGCACCAGCATAGGTCAGCCAAGGGTGAACACCTGAATAAGCGGAAAGCCGGGAACAGGCTAACTCCGCTACCCAAATGTCCCCCTGGACTCAGGCACGTGCACAACCCCCTCTCAGGGGTTGACCAAACCAGCTGAGTCCCTGGATTCCTTTAACAGAATACCCTTCACATAGGGATGGCGAGAGCGTTCTCCCATCCCTGTCACATGAACTAGTGCCCATCCGCAACCTTACAAATTGTGATGATTTGCTACGCAGCAGGTGAAACCCAAATGGCAACAGCCAAGCAGCCAAGTGGGGAAATTCCTGCCATGCCCCTGTCCCAAGGACAGACTACACACGACGGCATAGTAAGGTCAATTGCAAAATGCCCTAAAAGTAGGGAGAGGTGGATGGTTATTCTGAATGTACGAGCCGAAAGAGGAAGCTCTGGGTCACATGCATGGGTATATATAGGTCCCTCGATCGGTTTAGACTGCGCCCCATTGGCCACATTGAACCCAACATTGAGGGACCTATCAATCGGGTGTTGTGGTTAACCAATTAACCCACCCACAACACAGGGAGTCAGTCTCCAGGTCTCACTGCAACACATGCCCTCTCTTAGGGAGGACACAATTAATTAAAGAGTGTGGCCTGCAGTTCGTCAACTTTGCACTTATTAATCATACCACCCAGCAATGAAGTGTTGCATGACAGTGTAACACGTGACATGTGTAAGGTGGGGGTGGGGAGAGAGGCTTGGCCACACCCAATATACACCGTCTGGGAAAATGGGTTACTATGGAACTCCAGATGAAAGATCTGCACATCTGTCTATTTCCAGCACATATTAGAACAAGAATTCTCAAAATACTATTTAAATACTATTTAAAATAGTAATGCAATAATATTCATTTTTTCTGTCAAAATGCAAACTGAAATGTCTGCTTTTATATTCTGAGAACTGCATTGCCATATTGCAAAATTGGGTGGGCAGCTAAATTCTTATTTCCACATTAGTCCAAGAGGTATAGACTTTGTCCACATCCTGAGGCAAGGCCCTTCCAAGGTGAGGCATCCCTGCCCTGGGTGCCATCTGCCCCAAATATAACCTCTGCCTCCCACCAAGCTCTTAGGAGATATTCTGAGGTGTTTTGCTTTTTTAGCCCACTGCAATCTAAGCAAGAGAGCCCATCTCCAAAATGATGTGATTGGAGAGTGTGGGGAAAAGCAGAAAGTGGTGGCCGTTTTAGTTTCACAATAAAAATTAGCAGGATGACTGAAACATCTGTTTTCCAAATACTACTTCAGATTTGGGGTCCCAGGCAAGCCCCCCTCAAAGCAATCCCAAGCGAATGGGCCCCCAAATAGAGCCCTAACAGGGCTGAAGCAGGTCCTGAGGTGAATCGGGGCAGGTGGGCCTCACAGCCATAGTACAGACCAGGTCATTTTGTTTCAGAATTCATAAAGATCAAAATCCTCAAAATTCCTCCTCCAGATACGTTTGGATAACATTGATTATCTGGGTCCATTTCAGATGGGTTTTCATCCTGGTTCTGGCACTAAAATGGTGGTGGTTGTTTACATTTTTATTCACCCGAGACCTGTTAGTTTCTAAGCTTTTATTAATCAAGCGTTTATAGTTTGGTGCTGCTCCTATTTCATTATTATATGATTGATTATTGTTGTTTCACTATCTAAAATTTATCTTAGTTGCTCTGAGTCACTTTGCCTGAGGAGTGGGATATTAAATTCCCCAAACAAATGACTGAATATAATAACCTATGTGCCTGGAAGCAAAGCAAACATTCCTGGTAACATCTGCGGCTTTTTTTAAAAAAAGTATGGTCACAGTCAATGAAATGTAATACAATTCTGAATAATTCTGATTGTGAGACAGAATATTCCACAGAACCTCTTGAGTGATTGATGGGGAAGTAAGATACAGTGGTGCCTCGCAAGACGAAATTAATTCGTTCTGTGAGTTTTTTCGTCTTGCGAATTTTTCGTCTTGCGAAGCACGGTTTCCCATAGGAATGCATTGAAAATCAATTAATGTGTTCATATGGTCAAAAAAAGTCCAAACCAAGCCAAATTTGGTACAAAAAGAGTTTATTAAGTGCTTGCTCTTTAAAGTCACACATACTGTAAAGAGCATTTCAAAAATTGAAGGAACAATAATTTAAGTTTCTAAACATGACAGAAAAGCATTTAAAAATCACCAAAGTGTACTGTACATACATTTTCTAAGACTCTGGGGGACAACTCGAAGAAGGTTCCTCTTCCACTCTTTGCTTCTTGCTGAAGAACCTGTCCATGGTCTGCTGCTTCATCCGCCTTTTCAGCACCTCCCTGAAAGACGACATGACCCTTGTATCAAAAGTGTTCGCAAGGTCACGTGTCAGGTCCTTGTCAGGGTGGTGCCGCTGTCAAAAGCCTGCACATCTTTCCACTTCTGGCAAATGTCCCTCAGTTCTTTGGAGGACAGCCGTTCCTCAGTTGCTTCCTCCTCTTCCAGCGAGGCCTGCTCCTGCGCAGCCTCTGCCTGCAGTTCGACCAGCTCCTGGGTGGTCAGCTCATGGTCGTGCTCCTCCCCCAGCTCGCTGATGTCCTCCTCTGTGACCTCCAGGCCCATGGTCCTCCCCAAGGTAACAATATCCTGCACCACTGTTTACTCTGGTGCATCAGAGTCACTTGGTGCCACACAGTCCGGCCACAGGCTGCGCCAAGTGAAATTCAAATTTCTCTGGCTGATCCCGTCCAGCCAGAAGACCTGCTGTGGAACGTAGCCCTCCATTGTCACAACCTCCAGGAACTCCGCTGCAAAGTCTTCAGCCGCAGGAACATCAGAACTGGCAGCCTCTCCATGCCTGACCATGCTGTGGATTCCAGATCTCGTCTTGAACCGGTCAAACCAGCCTCTGCTTGCCTTGAAGACTTCTGGCTCGCCTGAGGTTCCTGGCTGTTGCTGGACGAGGTCTGCGTGCAAGGCCTTGGCCTTCTCACAAATGACGGCCTCAGTCACTGTGTCTCCTGCACGCTGCTTCTCTTCTAACCAGATGAGCAGCAACTTCTCCACCTCCTCCAGAATAGCTGGGCGGTTCTTCACGATCCTGGTGACTCCCTTGGCTACATCAGTCGCAAGGATCTTCTCCCTCATCTTCAGGAATGGTCCCGATGTTCGATGGATTCCTCCCGTACTCCCTGGCGAGGTCTGTCACACGCATTCCACCGTCGTGCTTCCGGATGATCTCCTTCTTCATTTCCAGCGTAACCTTCTCCTTCTTCCCCTCGCCAGCCTCTGCAGCAGCAGTCTTCTTGGGCCCCATGGCAGCACAGCTCCTACCTTCGCAACCCCCCCCCCAAAAAATCTGCTTCACATCCAAAAAATTCAAAAGCACCAAACCTCCCAGAAAACACACAAGCTTCCAGATTCTTGCAAACCCCTCCCCAACACCAAGTCCTTGAATTCCAAACACCCCAACCCAAAATCCAAAAACCCCCAAAAAAGTTTTAAAAGTTTAACTTACCAAATGGCTGCAAAAGAATTTTTGGAAAAGCTTCAAAAATCACCAAAGTCTTCAAAAACCTCAAAAAAGGCTACCACACCGCGTTCTATGAGTTGCTCCTCGAAGTCAAGTCGCAACTGTATTAACGGTGTTAAGAAAAAGGAAACAAACTTGCAAGACGTTTCCGTCTTGCGAAGCAAGCCCATAGGGAAAATCGTCTTGCGAAGCAGCTCAAAAAACAAAAAACCCTTTCGTCTAGCGAGTTTTTTGTCTTGCGAGGCATTCGTCTTGCGAGGTACCACTGTATTTATTTTATATGCCTGTTGTGTGTATGTGTTTCTGTGTCTGTGTGTGGGAGAGAGAGAGAGAGAGAATTCAATATTATGAGCCCCCATCTGCAGTCTGAAACTATTGATTCTAGGCACAGGTTTACCACTGCAAGTAAGGCTTTAGTCCTCACCTGCAAGAATATGTTCAAGGCATTTCTTCATAAATACAGTGCAGTTCCAGCATATTGCTGCATCTTTGCTATAGATAGCCCTGCAGCACAGCATAAATCAATATTTAGAGTCCTCTGAAATATATGCATTTTGATGGATTTTTAAAAGTCAAGAACTTTAATGAGGCATTCAGGAAGTACAAAAGCTAGTAGGAAACCACATTCCATTCACAAATTAGTCCAAGAGCTGCAAATACGAGAAATTCATATTGGAATTCAGAAAGGCTGAGTTTCTTAAGCATCCTTAGTTACAAAAGGACTGTAAGCCACATTTTTAATGGCAAAATGGGTTTCCCTTATGCAGGTTGTACTGATTATGTTGGTAACTTTGTGCCATTACAGCTACATATTTTTTGTTAAGGGTTGTGGAATAATTCAGCAAAATGATCATAGGCAATCATGTAATTTATGTCCCACCAAATACAAAAATCTAATAAATGGAAAAGTATCCACATAAATTTTAAATAGGAATATAATTGTACCACATGTTAACCAGATATTGCTCAGTTGGTAAAACTGCTCTTGAAAGGTTTTTGTAAAAAATAAATAAAGAGGTTTTGTTTATCTGCTTTTTTACAGTGACCTGGAACTTCAAACAAATATTGAATCAATGCAATCTTTGCATGCATCTCTATTGATCACATTAATACTGTGTCATGGACAGGATCTAATAACAGAAAAGTGTTTGGGTGTGAACGGCAATATATGGATTTCTCATTTAGATTATTCTCAATAGGACAAAGACAAAGCAATTCAGTTTCTGATTCCAGCTGAATTAGAAAACAGCTATTACTTTCAAGATGCTTTGTAGCTGCACATTTGAAAAGCCGTAATGGTAAGACAGGTCTGTACTCTTACTTTCTAAATATATTTGTAATAATGAAGCCTTTGAAGTTGCTGGCTGAGTTTCTCCAATAGGATGGAGTTTTCATGAATTTTCAATTAGTGGAGAGAAGACAGTTAAGTTATTTAAAGGATTTGTATGTTGCCTTTTAGGGGAACCTCAGGCCTAGGGGCTGAATGTTATCCAACTTCCTCCAAGATTGTCCATGAGGACTCATGGCCCTTGCATTGAAAATAGTTCTCCATCTCAGGTTTAAGGCATAGCTCTCACAAATTGAGAGGATATTTATTAAGAACGAGTGATCAAAGTATAAGAATACAGCATAGTAAGGAAGCTCATAGGCAGTCTGGAACAAATGAGTCCTCAAGGCACACTCAAAGATCTACACTGAAAGGGCCAGGTGTCGTTTCATAGGAAGGGAGTACCATAACTGTGGGGCAACCACTGAGAAGGCTGTTCCATTGAGCGTCCATCAAGGCTGCGAATAGCGGCACTGTTGTGCCATCCAGTCCGCTTTCACTGTGCCCATCTGCTTCTCCCGGCTACAGCAGAGTATCATGAGCAGAGGTATGCCTGTGTGGAAGGAATCTCAGCCATGCAGTAAAACTCTCGTACAACAGCTTCTTCTTTTATATGAAGCTTTACAGTCACACCTTGGGTTGAATATGCTTCAAGATGAGCACTTTTGGGTTGCGCTCTGCGGCGACTCGGAAGTAACAGAGTGGGTTACTTCCGGGTTTCACTGCTTGCGCATGCACAGATAGTCAAAATGACATCACGCACATACGTGGAAGCGACAAATCACGACCCGTGCACGCGCAGACATGCAGTCGTGGGTTGTGTTCACTTCAGGATGCAAATGGGGCTCCGGAATGGCTCCTGTTCGCATCCTGAGGTACCACTGTATTGTACAGCAGCAAAACAACAAATCAGCCAGGAGAGTGCGAAGACATGATGCTTCTCCTGTCGCAGCCAAAACAGAAAGTAAAAGCATTCACATAACAAAGTACAATACCCGTATGCGAACACAGCCTCAGTTACAGGACGTCATTCCCCTTGAGCTGTTAACTCTGTAAGCTCTGGGTATCCTCACACCCCCTCTCATCCTGTACCACTGGGGGGAGTGTAAGTACTACCACTTACCCCAAACACAACCCTTCTCAGAACTCCCCATGTCTTGGAAGCTCAAAGGTTTTGTGAACCCATCTGCTAGGTTTGTCTGACTTGGACAGTACTTCAGCTTTATTAAGCCTGTCTGGACACTCTGACATACATTCTGGAACCGTATGTCTAAATGTTTGGTTCTGGACTTGAACTGTCCAGACTTTGCCAACTTCAAACAGGGTTGATTGTCTCCCCAAATGGTGATGGGCAAGCAACACTCCCCACAGATGTCTTGGACCGAACACTTAATTCAACACACTAAATTCAGCTTCTGTAGAGGAAAGCTTTCAGGATTTCCACCCAACTAGAGATTCTCCAAACTTCACTACCAAACCAGACACAGATTTCCTGTCCCCAAGATTTGCCCAATCACTGTCAGTCCAGCATGTGAGCTCTGCTTCACCCTCAGCTGACAGTTTGAGGCAGAAATCTTTGGTATCCTGCAGATACCTTAGCACTCTCCTGACACCATTCCAGGCACTCATACTTGGCTTTGTAGCTTCTCTGCTGAGCAGGTTTATAGCAAATGCTATTTCTGGTCTGCTCCATTGGGAAAGATACAACAAACTCCCTAGAGCTGACTGAAATACCTCAGGGTTCTTGAACTCAGAATGTTCCCCGAGCTGACTGTCTTTCACGAAGCTTGTTTCCATGGGTGTTCTGACCCCTGCACACCCAGACATCCTGAACTTCTCAAGCAACTGCTCAGTCTTGCCTTTCTGACTGAGCAAGAAACTGCCACCCTCGGTTCTATCCACCTGGACACCTAGGTACACTCTTACCGGACCTATATTTTTGAGCGTAAAGTGCCTCCCAAGCTCTTTGGCAAAAGCTTGCACCTGTTTCCCTGTCTTTGCCAAATGTATGATGTCATCAACAAACACCAACCCTAGCTCCAGTGTCTCTCCAAACCCCTTTACGTACAGGCAGCTATCTGCAAGACTTTTCTGGAAACCCATACTTTCCAAAGCATCATTCAGGCACATGTTTCAATTTCTGGCCGACTGCTTTAGGCCATAGATGGATTTGTGTAACTTCCACACTACATCCGGCTTATTTCCTTCGAATCCTGGAGGAGGTAGCATGTACAGATCCTCCTTCAGATCCGAGTTTAAATAAGCAAGGTCCACATCAGAAAGATGGACCTCAAAACCCCTTTGAGTAGCAACTGCTAATAACACACGTAGAGTTTCACTTCTAGAAGTTGGTGCATACACTTCAGTATAATGCAGCCCTTTTCTCTGTGTGAAACCTCTAGCTACTAGTCTTGCTTTGTACTGTGGTTCTCCAGTTGCTATGGGCTTAATCCTGTACACCCAACGACAGCTCACTGCCTGTTTGCCTTCCGGCAGCGTCATGATGGAGAACACTAGGGACTTCATTGAGTTCAACTCCTTCTCCATTGCTTCATGCCATTTCCTGGCTTCTGCCTGAGGTAACTGTTGAACCTCCTCAAAACTCTCTGGTTTGCATTGAGCCAAACCAACCCACACACTGGTGGCTAAAAACCTTTCGGGTGGCTTTCCTTTTATGGTGCACGCAGAGCACCTTGGCACCACGTCAGATGCCCCCTCTGACCCAGAAGTACTGGGACCAGCCCATGTGTCCTTGACATCAGAAGATTTTCCCTCTGACTTACTGTGCCTTCTGAAACCAGCTGGACTGGCTTTGGGAGATGTGGGCACACTCCTAGGCTCTTGCTTCACAGCCTTTGGAGATGCCCTTTCCTGCTCCAGTTCGTGTACCCGAACGTGGTTGAGACCCTCAGCAGGTGCAGTTACTAACTCTTCCTCCTCAGCAATCAAACTCTCTGAGAGAACGTCAGGATTCTCGTGGATGTGTTTCCACCCATTTTGCTTGCAAAACTCAGCTCTCCTGCTGACTAGAACCCGTGACTGATTGCCCTCTGGGTAGGCAAATCTCCACCCCTTTGTTCCTGGCTTATACCCACAAAAGATCATTTTCCGGGACCTGGAGCCACCCTTTCTTCATTGGGCCTTTGGCACAAGAACCCAAGCCTCACACCCAAAAACACGGAAGAAATGTACCTTCAGCTTCTTACCATGCAACAGAAAATAGGGTGTGTCACCTACAGCAGAATTGTAGGTACGATTCAGCGTGAAATTTGGCATCTTCCACGCTTCCACCCAGAAGCGTTGTGGTAAGCCTGAATCGAACAACATGGCCTCCACAACTTCCTGGAGGGTTCTGTTCCTCCTTTCTGCCATCCCGTTTTCCTGTGGTGAATGAGGACTCGTCAACCTGCAACATATCCCTTTCTGGCGGAAGTAATTCTGCAATGCAGACCCAGTGAACTCCCCACTGAGATCTGACGGGAAACTGCAAACCCTCAGAGAGAATTGCAGTTCCACTGCAGTGACCTACTCCCTTAGCAAATTGGCGGATTCACTCTTTTCCTTCAGAGGTATCACCCAACCCATTCTGGAGTGGTTCTCTATCAGGGTTAACACATATCAAGCCCCACCCAGGCTCGCAACAGGCATGGGACCACAGATATCTATGTGAACCAACTCAAAAGGTTTCATGGTTACCCTATCCGACCTAGGATAACTGCGTGTCTTAACCTTTGCTTTCTTGCATGCACTACAATCCAGGAACTTAGAACATGACTTCATTTTACATCCCTCAGCACATCCTGGTAGCTTCTTCACATACCCCCAATTACAATGGGACATCCTTCTGTGCCACAAATGATGACACATGTGGTGAGTTATTTGCACACTGTGCCTGTGCTGTCTCAGTGGTACCATTGACGCTTGGGGCATTTCCAGAACAAACAACTTGTTCTGGCATGCAACACTGACTAACAGCCCCCCCCCCCCCTGGAAATGGAGCATACATTATTCTCAAAACAAACCTTAAACCCATCTCTAACTAGAGATGACACAGACAGTAGACAGCATTTCATCCCTGGCAACACAAATGCTTCTAGCTCGGTTTGCAAAGAATCAACAAAAACAGTGCCCGCAGTTTGCAGAAGCTTCTTGGAACCATCAGCTAACGTCACAGACTTCCCTTCGGTAACAGCTCTGCAGTTGCGCATGTGGACACTAGAGGTCAGCAAATGATGACTTGCTCTACTGTCAATCACCCAACACTGTAAGCTGATCTGCTCGTCCTTCACTGTTGCCATGTGTCAGGGAACTGACATCGGAGCTAGAGGTGGAGGGAAGGCTCTCAAATGATGCTGGAGAAGGGCCCAGCAGGGAGAGAGGCAGCTCCGCAGATGGGGAAGCAAATCAGCGCTACACCAGGGATAAGGAGGGGCTGATGGGGGAATCGGCGAGAGGGCTCCAGGACTCTTCACCGGACACCAGCAGGGAGAGCACTGGTCCCCCGCTACCCACGCCCACCCTGCGCAGAAGACTTCCACGCAGAGAGAGTAGGAGGAGACTGGGTGTCAAACAACTTTTATGTTGGAAAAGATTTAAGAAATGCCCACTGACGGATTCTGCTAGCGACTGAGGCAGCCACGAAGTGAAGGGCTGTCCAGACAGAAAGGTTTACCAAGGCAGCAAAGCCTGGAGAGGCGGCAACTTACGCACGAGCAACCCATACTCATTATACCATGGAAGCGGCCAAATGAAGGAAGAGTGTAATTGAAGTGCTGGAAGAGATTGAACAATTTGGTAACGTGGCAGGATTTACATTAAACAGGAAAAAAACTAAAGTAATTGCAAAAAACATCGATCAAAGTGTAGTAGAAGCAATGCAACAACAAACAGGTATTGAAGTGGCGAAAAAGGTAAAATATTTAGGAATATGATTAACTTCAAAAAATATCGATTTGTTTCAAAATAATTATACACCGGTGTGGAATGGAATTAAGAAAGATCTGGAGGTGTGGGGAAGGATGAAATTATCCTTTTGGGGAAGAATCTCAACGATTAAGATGTTATTTTTATTTCAGATGATCCCAATACTCAAGGGGACAATGATTTTTAGAGAGTGGCAAAGAGTGATTTCAAGGTATATCTGGCAGGG